GAGCTTCGCAGATTGCATACACTGTAGGGGAATGCACTTGGGAAATCTGTCTATGGTCGTTAGTCCAGACCGTTTCATCCAAAGATAATTTGGTTTCAGACCCAATTTTAGAGATGCAGTGGTGATTGAAATAGAAGTCATTTGCGATTTCCATTCCCACTTCAAAAATAATAATCTCGATAAAAGACGGCATGTTGTGCCCGGAAGCCAATGTAAAAAATCCAATGCATCAAGTGCAAAGCAATCTCCATCATAAAAGAGAGTGCCATCGTCGTAAGCAGATGTCTTTCGCTTTGTAAAATTACTCAAAATATAGAAATCAAAATCGCAACTTTATACTCAAGATCAAAACAATAAATGAACTTTAATCTTAAAAGAAACACATAGTTCTACCTTTATATTGTTGGTGCACAACAATTGTTATTGTTTAAAAGATACTATTTGTTGGGAATATCAGATTTTAATAAAAGCAATAATTAATTATAATTACATTGTTGCTTTGTAAGTCACAGTTGTAATATATTCCACAATTTATACTGGTTTAAAAATTAAAGATACTTTATCTTTTTATTTAAAAAAAACTATAATTAATAATAGCCTTTCATATATATCATAGGTAAAGAATAAAAAATATCTTTTTACAACAATGGACAGTGAGAATTATACTACAAAGAGAACTGTTTTTCTAAATTATTTAACTAAATCTTTAAAATAATCTTGAGAAATTCAAATTATCTTACCGTCTTGGACAGTTTGAATGAAAGGTATGGAAATAATAAAAAAATACTGTAATCATTATAGGAAGGATTTCCTTGATTTGTTTTAAAATCAATCCTCTCGGCCGCCCATCAATTATAGTAGTTAGTGACACTGACTGCTGTGCCTTGGGCCTGGGTTTGAATCCTAGAGATGTATACAAATGTATAGTTCCTTTGCGGCAGGGGGGCACTCTAAACAGCCATCGAGCCACGAATCCCCTCGTGAGTTTCATGGAAGGGGAAGAGAGGTGGAAGATCCCTGACCTCCCCCTGAGTGTTATTTAAAATTGGGATGCAATCGAGTCAAATCGTAGTCACCTGCACGTTGCTCAAAGCTATGACTATTGACAGGTGTAAATTACTAGCCCCTTGTTTTGAATTTCGTGTGCCTCGGTCTGACACCATCAGGCAAATAGCATTAGAAATGAAACCACAACAAGAGTGATTTTCTGCATCATATTTTACCCAAACAAAATATGTAGAGAAAAAAAATTAAATACATTTTAATTAAGGAACTTTTTCAGAAAAAAAACTCTATATACTCATTTTCCATCTTTCATTTACTTTTATACTCAGAAGTTGTGTATTTCTTGCATAAAATCCAGTTAAGTTAAAACTTTCGTTTTTTTTACTCAGACTCACCGGCGTATCGTAGTATGGTAGCGAGCAGAGGTCATTATAGGCTGATCATTGAAGGCTGCGTAGCTGTATTCAAGACGACAAAATGCAATTCCAGTTGAAGACCCGTTTCATTCTAATAACTTCTAATAAATTAAATTCACTATGTCTTAATTTTGATAACCAACTGAAATTAATAATCAGTATGTATTGTAGTCCTTAAAACTGTTTATTTCTTTTCCGATTAAGCACAAGTACCGATCTTGAAATGCAATCTGAAGAAATTATATAAGATTAGTTCTTTAAACTAAATAAACATATTTTATATAACATTGTGTGGGGAAAAACTGTCGATAAGTATAACTCAGAAGAACAACTTTTTATTGCTTTATCTGAAACTTCCTTTGACTCATCTTAGTTTTTTGACTTTAAAATAAGTTTGATGCGTAGGATGTTTCTAAAAATACTTCTTTTTCCCTTTAATCCAAAAGAAATAATGGCTCTTAAATTTTTCTTTCTTTTCCAAATAAGGATAACAATAATACTAAAGCTGGTTTAAGAAGACAATTTCTGAAATTATTCATTAATTATTGGCTTTCATCAAATCCAGATTAACATAATCACTTCCAAATTTACGTAAACATTGTTCTTCTATTGCATTTCAATAATAAAATATTTAAAAATAATCCTTTTTTAGCAGAGATAGAGATCAACTTTTTCTTCACTTAATGAATAAAATTTAGATTTATATTCTTGTTAATCATTTCTTTTTTTATAACATTTTTAAAACTTCTACTTTTCTCCCTTTTTTCTTTCTACATTTATTTCCAACCATAACTGTGACTGAGCACGCCCTATTTTCCAGCGCTTCTTACCCTAACAACGTATAACCCTGTGGAATGGAACTTTATTACAGTAAACAGGTAAGTTCTTTTGATTCTGCCAAATATCAACCGTGATTTAGATTTTAAGCTCTAAATATTCTCCTCTCCTTTGAAGGTATTGTTCGTTCATCAGTCCCCATTTTACTGTAGGAAATTAAGTTTAAATTACTTATATAAATATTTTTATAATTAAAAGCAAGTATCATCTCCATCTCAGGATTTTATTCAAACCACAAGCTACGGCAGACAATTATTTTTTGTGATTATTAACAAATAAATACTTAATTCCAAAAATATGTAGTCATCATTATTACAATTTTTTTTTAGCCCTTTTTTGATTTGGGTGCCCTAGGAAGCCTAATGCTCATGGTCACAGACTCGTGGATGGCTTTTCATGAGTTCGAGTCCTAGTGCCAATGAAGATCCATTGTGTAGAAGGGGCTGATATCAGTTAAATCCGTTATAACTCAAAGTCCTCTCATTCACGTTGTATTGTAGTTTGGAGAGTGCGAGAATATCATCCTCATCACTTGACCTTCGTTCAAAATTTCAAGGTCAATCACGAATAGTCTTCGTGTTACTTCAAAGTGGGACGTTAATAAAGACTCCCTCAATCATTCTTATTGTGGTAACAATCAGGGACGTTTTTAACCTCCCTGGCACCCCAGGCACTTCTAACTTTTCCCCACCACTCTTTCCAGGGGGCGACTCCTTTTGTTTTTACTTTGCTAGTTTTCGTTTGAGAGAGATTTTTTCTCACTCTTTTTCCTTTTTATCTATTTAAATATTTCTATTATCCACCAACTGTGAACCTACCGTGTCCCAGACTACCAACCGGCAGCATAAGGAAAGGATAGTGTCATGGTTTGGCCACTCTTGTTCATTTCTTATCTTACGGCATCACGAACCACACACGCTTTTGTGAAGTAGTACAGTAAATTTATGAAATTGTTTGCAGTTAAAGTTTAAAGTATTCATTACTGTATGAACTGCTATCAACCTGTTATATCATTGTTTATCCCTTTACTATGTGTTACTTTATGTGTGGAATGAATTATTTACCTCATCATAATATCTATATAAAAATCACCAAATTCAAAGGCTACCATACACCCATACTACACTTTAACCAAAATTTTAATATTTATTGAATCCATTTATTCTTTCTTTTTCATAAGCTTTAATAAACTGCAGAGTAAATAATCTAGAACAACATATTTAGACTTTAGTGGGTGTTTTTATATGAAACTAATAAGCACTGTATAAATGAACTACACAAGCCAATTGAAACTTTTTTTATATGTCCTTCAAACTGTTGTGACATGCAATATTTTAATATTAAGAGATTCATTCAACTTGGTTTGATTGAAGGACTGTTTGTTAACATCACATTACAAAGCAACATAAGGGCTACTGGCAATGACCCTTGTAATTTTGAATCATATAATCAAGTGACTATCCCAATTCTCCAAATTTCCACACAACATCAAAGTGAGGACTTCCAGCTTTGACTGATTTAATATGCATAAACCCTTAGAACTAACTACTCAAAAGAAAAAATAAGCCATAAATTCACAATTAGGATCACTTGATTATTGCGACCATATATCATTTGAAATATTCATTGTTTATTTTTTTTAACAGAAAATTGACTTTTTCTCATTTGATATTATTTTTTGCAAACATAATACTGGTCATTCTCCTTCCACAAAGTGTTAAAAAAATTTCTGCAAAGAGGGATCAGTTTTTTTTTTCATGTTGCTTTTTTTTTATCGAATAGTATACTAAATATTCTTATTTAAGATACACTGCTAAAACAATCAAATAAGAACATTATTTCAATGTAGTTTTAAAAAAATGTTTATATTACAAATGTGGTACAATATGATACTTTAAAAATTAGTTGAAAGAAAACCAGTAACTTTTTTTAAATACAATTTCATTATATAGCCTCCTTAAAGCTTTACTTACACACATCAATTGCATAATGAATCAAATTATTTTTTATAATAAAAATTTCAAATACTTCTGGTGTTAGAATGTTTTATTTTATTATAATTTTATACATTACACGAATTTGTAAAATCATTTCACTAAAAATTAAGAATTCAAAAATTAACAAAACATGATTAATCTCATGTCAGTTATTTGTCATAATACCTATTGTAACTAGAATACCAATGACCTATATGATGCAATTTAAACCAAATATTGTCTCCAGCCATTGGATTGAAACCAAGAGCATATCTTTCTCCAGGAATCTGAAGGAACAAAAATGAAACAAATTTTAATCAATGAGTAAAAAATTATCATTACAAATTATATTTAAAAAAATTTAAAATACTAAAATTATTTAAAATACACTCAATTTTTTTTTCAGATTTAAGCCCTGGAAAACCAAAGTAGAGCTACAAATATATGAAATTTAGAACAGTTTCTTTTTAAATGCCTTTCTCAAAATAAAGAGATGGCTTTTTGAGAAATTTCTAAGCAAAGACAGCAATTTTAACTGACTGCAATTATCTTAAATGTTTTTGTAATTAATTTTCAAAATTAGTTGTTGTTGTTGTGTCCTTCCCGCAGGGAAGGAATGAAAGTTGCCATTGCCTGTGAGACAGGTTGGACTTCTTAACGATAGATGGCGACACCACCTCTCTCCACCTCCCCAATTTTGGCATGGAACTGAAGGGGAGGGAAATATTCTCCAGCCCCCTGCACTCATGGTTTCAAAAATGTACTCTTTCCTAGGTGAGGCTCGAACTCACAGCCTCGGCATTACTCGCAAGCACTGCATTATAAGCACCACGCGCTAACCAATTGTGCCACTAGGGTTGTAGCAGAGTGGTTAAGCCATTCAAAATTAGTAAGAAAAATATATAACCTGTAATAACTGATATCGAAATCTATGCAAACCCCATTAATATTTGAGAGCAAATATGTTCCATGCTTTTTTTAAAACACAAAATTAGGGGTAAAAAAAAATTTAATTTCACATGTATATCTACATATTACCAGAGAAATACACAAATTTGATTTTTTTTTTTTGAAAACTCCTATATCATGATATACTCGTTTTTTTAAAAAATTACAGTATTATAAATTTGAGTTTATACACTTCAAATAAAAACAGACATCCAAAGAGTCAATCCTTCAAATGTGATAAAACACTTAAACTGCATATATACATATATCAATCATATCTAATATATAAAATTCTCCTGTCACAGTGTTTGTAACCAAACTTCTCCGAAACGACTAGACCGATTCGTATGAAATTTTGTGAGTATATTCAGTAGGTCTGAGAATAGGACGTAAACTATTTTTCATTCCGATATTGCAATTAGTTGAAAGATATTAATTAAAAACCTTAATACGCGTAATTGTCTTACCGCTGTGTGTGTTTATTTCGCTTGGCGTCGAAAATCGGTTTCGTGCCAGATATGTGACTTTTCTCTGTTCCACCATCCAAATCACTCTGCTCATAGGTTACAATATCAAAAAAGGTGTCCATAACAAATCAAAAATCACCAAATTTGGCGAGTGAAAAGTCCCCCCCCCCCATTTTTTGTACATATCGTTACGCCCAAGTGTAGTATAGGGGGGGGGGGTATGGATTTGGCGATTTTTATCGAAATTTCATGGTGAGATAATGAATTCATTCTGGTGTGCTATTTCATTTGGTAACCCTTGATTTTTGATTTGTCATCTTATGCAAATAAGGTCACATGTTGCTTTTAAAAAATTGCTATTGGTTAATTAATAAAATTGCGGATAATTTCAACACGAGCAGACGATTTTCAAATTAAAAATTCCATCTTTTATTTATTTTTCATTTTAAAATTTATTTTCGTCCATATTGGATACTTTACGCTTCAAGCCATTTTTTATATTCCATTTTCTTGATTTCTTTTATTTTCCTTCGATTTATCCTGAAGTGTATGTCTGAAAGGTATGATTTGTGGGTTTTTTTGTTTTTGATTTGGAACAAAAGGGTAAATTGACTGTGATACAGTGGTGTATGGAAAAATGATTGATTGCTGCCAGTGCTGAATGTTCTGTTTGCAAGAAAGCTATGCATCCGGTGAAAAAGAATTCAAGTGATGGATATATTTGGGAATGCTGAAAGAAAGGAGCGAATGGACATCGCATGAAGAGATCTGTAAGGAAGAATAGCTGGTTTGAGGAGAGTAAGCTGAGTATGCTTGACATTCTAAAATTAACGAATATGTGGGTGCGAAAGGCCAACCGTGACTTCATTTCTTTTGAACTAAATGTTTCAAAGAAAACAGTCACGGATTGGATGAGTTTTTGTAGAAAAGTAAGCATGCAAATGTGTGTGTACAACAGTTTGATGCTTGGAGGTCCATATGTGATTGTAGAAATTGACGAGAGTATGTTTGGTAAAAGGAAGTACAACAGATACAAACGAGTGAATGGAACTTGGGTGTTTGGAGGAATTGAAAGATCTTCGAATAAGTGTTGTTTTTTTCATTTGGTTCAGGATAGGCCGAAGGATACTCTTCTACAATCCATCAAGATCAACATAAAGGAGGGTACCACCATCATATCAGATTGTTGCAAAGCTTGTAATTGCCTGGAAGATGAAGGTTTCCTTCATCTTTCAGTCAATCATACGTTGCATTTTAAGGATCCAGAAACGGGCGCTCACACAAACTCCATCGAGGGTTCGTGGAGCGCCAATAAAAAATCTCTGCCTGGAAACCGCAGGTGTAAGGATGAATTTGATTCTTACCTTGCAGAGTACATGTGGAGAAAGATGCAATCCGAATGACCTATTCACTGCCTTTTTAGAGGCAGTGAAAGAAATATACCCTCCTATGGAAGAGCTCACCTGAGCGTAGGTAAGAATACTTCTGAAATATTCTAAATTACGATTTCTACTGCTTAAAATAATTCCATTTTTAATTTTATGCATAAATGATAGCTTTATAAATATTTCTTTTAATTTTACATTAATATCTCTTCATTTTTATTTCCCAATTACAATTTGTAAATTCTTGGAACACCTACTGATTAAGTAGCTTCGCTATCGAATCCGGTCGCCAAAAACAGCTATTGCGGGGAAAATAACTAGGCGATCGCTTTTAGTCACCAAAAAAATTAACATCGCCAAGGCCCCCCCCTATACTACACTTTAACCATTGCTTTTACTTCGTTAGCATTATTTCAAATAAGTGGCATGAGATCAATGAAACAACTAGACCGATTATGAAATTTTGTGCGTATATTCATTAGGACTGAGAATAGGACATAAATTGTTTATTATGCCCCTAGGTAATAAGGGTGGTCCACTCTAAATTTTAATTTTTTTTTATGATTCAACATTAAAAATACATACAACCCTAAATTTTTACTTTTCTACCACCAAACCCTATTTTTGATAGCGATATTAGTACTTTAATGATTTTCTACTCTTGGAGTTCGATAATATATCAGTTATCACTCAATTAGTTATCCCCGCCAGGCATCTACCGGTGTCACTTCTCACCCCGTAAACAGCACAGAGTAGGGATGAGAAAGAAGCCGCTCTCCTGTCTTTCTCAGCTAACAAGCTTTCTCTCACTCAAGTTTAGGGCATAAGCCATTTTCGGCCATTATTATTGATTGCGCATCAATCGTAGCAGTGACGCTTATACTTATCATTTTACTTTCTCAGTGCAACTCTCACATTAAGTATATTCTTATACTAAATGTATCATCCATTTGCAGTGTTATAATTATTTATCCCCATTTTGCTCAAGATGGTTCTCACGTTCAGTTAATTAAGTGATCTCATATAATTCAATAGTTTTCAACACGTGTCACGAGTTCCCTAAAACAACAAATATTGTGTTTCCTGTATAAACCATTTCTGAATATTTTCAGACATTTATGAGTTCTTACATAATATTTATTAGTTTTCTTATTATTAAACGCAATTAATAAAACTGTAATACTCAGTATGCGTGGATCTCCAGTTATTTTGCTTCGTAATTTGAACCCACCACGGCTGTGCAATGGCACAAGAAGTCATGAAAAAATTGATTGAAAACATTGTCGAAGCTAGCATTTTGAATGACAAGTTCCGAGAAGATGTATTATTACCATGAATCCCTATTATTCCCACACATGTGCCAATTGAATTCAAACGGATTCAATTTCCAATTAGATTGGCATTTGCAATGACAATCAATAAGTCTCACGGTCAAACGAAGTCTGTTTATGGCTTAGATTTGGGCACATCGTGTTTTTCACACGGACCATTATACCTGGCATGTTCTCCCGTGGGTAAACCATCCAGTTAGTGTTGGCTAAAGATAGACTCACTAAAAATATCGTACACTCCATTGCACTAAGAGACTGATAATGTTATTTTTTAAATGTCATAATTTATGATAGAGATGTAAATTGAAATTTATTGGTTAAAATAATAAAAGTACAAAGAATTCAAAAAATGAATGTTTGGTGTTTTGTTACTTTTATATTCCGTCATCGATCACAGCACTCCATTCCTCTTTCAGTCATATGCCACATCCCCACACACTTACAATGAGTTATTTATTTTTTATTTGACTACCAAAATATTCACTAGAAATAATTTATATGGCAAAACAGCGTTTGCTGGGTCAGCTAGTATATACATAAATTTGATATAGAGGGTGCCTCACACATTTGAACAATAAATATCAACTAATATAGACTAGATATATTGAGAGATGCAATGCATGAGGAAATTTAAATCTAGAATTTTTGCTTTCTTTTATCACCAAAAGAAAGTCTCAGAGGCACTTTGAAATATTCATTAAACTTGTAGGTTACCAATATAGATGCTCCTCAATACAAGTAGGTTGAATCTCCAGAGCCAATTACTAATTCTGCCATATTAAACAAACACCAGTGGCACGACGAAGAATATTAAGGCCCCCTCCCAAAGTCAGGTTTTGGGTCCCAAGCCAGATCTAATGTACTTGGCATCACCAAGGTTTAGGGCCCCCACACACTTTGCGGGGATGTACATTACACCACTGACAAACACGATTTATTGTGTAAAATAACTCTGGGGAGAAGCATAACCAAAAATCTGCAGATAAATTTTAGGGTGAAACCAGAAAGATATCTGAAATTTGCCACTAGAGGAAATGTCTCATATGTATGAAATAAGCATTATAACTTTTAATTTGTACACACAACACCCACCTATATATGTTTCAGAAATAGTAAACTGGTGTAAAAAACATTTGATTGTTAATTCTTTAATGAAAAGAACATTACTATAAAGTATGAATAAGCCAATGAAGATGTAATCTTACCTTTTCCAGAATTTCATTATACTCTCCTACTTCCTCAGCCGGGTGATATACCTCATGAACTTTAGGCCTATGTATTAGTGCATATGAGAGGATTAAATCTTTCCTGTTGCTGTAACTATAGAAAAAGTGGAAAATTTTAAAAAATGAAGCAAAATTAATACAGTTCAATGCATTTTAAATAATCTAATATCTCTATGATATGTATTCAAAAAAATATCCGACCTTTATTCATAAAATATTAAGATTTAAATACATAGCAATCTTACACTAATCTACTTCAGAACAGTCCTCTAGGAATGCAACATATTTCTTTTAATCTTTTTTGCAACTGATGGATTGCAGTACTGAAATACTTCAGTAGAGATGAGATATACTATATCTATCATATTCTGATTGTTTTCTCTTGACTGAATTATGCTCCCTTTAAGGAGTATTTTCTATTTTGGAAAGAAATAGTAGTTTTACAAAATCCTGCAGAAGATAGGTCTAATAGGGCAGGTGTGCTATAGGTATTTATCAGTT